TTTTTTTTTTTTTTTTGTAAAAGTAAAATATTGTTCAAAATGTCACTGAATACGTTAAATAAAAACATGAGGGAATCATTTCATTTGTTGCGATCGAAGAGCAAATTTAGAAACTGGAAAAGGCAAAAACAATTTCAAGTCGGAAAAGAAAAAGAAAACCTGAAAAGCCTCCCTCACGACTGAAAGCTTCATCTTCTTCCATGTAGAAGAACCGGAAAAGTACTTCCGACCTCGTCAGTCAGTCGTTCAGGACATCACTCCACTCCCTAATAAATTATCACTCTTATGAATTTAATTACTTGCATGCATATATAGCGAAATCTGTAGACCTTAATTTGCACTGCAGACACCCTCGCCCCAGAATTTGAACTGCTGTTGCTGTAGTACTTCGTGTGAGTTCCAGCCACAATAAGAAATAAAAAATGTGGTATACACACACACACACACAAAAGTTTCACATGGTGGCCAGCCACAACAAAACAAAAGCCAACTATTGTTTAAAAGAAAATCCAACAAATGAGATGCTAATCATAATTGAAAAAGTGAGCTGTCATGAACCTTTCTTCAGTATAAATAGCAGCGTTTGCAGTGCTGAAGGACGCACCAAGGAGCAGAAAGAAAAAGAGAGAAGAAATAACATCTTGTGAGTGTTATTTTTCAGTGAGATAAAAATAGAGTGTTTGAGTAAATCCTGTGAGTGTGGGAAAAATACACCGGGTTGGGTATCAACTCTATTACTTCTTGTTTACGAGTGGGGTTCTCACTGGATCACTATATTTTATATTTTTAGTGAAAGGGAGTGTGAAAAGATATTGTAATTATCTTAAAAATATAGTGGAATTATTCGGAGGTTGTCCCGTGGTTTTTTCCTCTATTTGGAGGTTTTTCCACGTTAAATCTTGGTGTCTTATTTCTTGCATATTTTATGTATTTGGGATATTCTTAGTATGCTCTGTGGTCGCAGTTTAATCTGAACTTCCACATCAGAAAAGAATTATTCCTGTTTTATTGCAAGAGATTTTCTTTTGTCATTCTTGAGTTGCTGGGATTGGGATTATTATTCACCATTTTACTTTAATATTTTAATTTACATCTTCCGCATTTGCGCATCTGAGCCCAACAAGTGGTATCATAGATTAGGTTGGGCTCTGTATTGACCAGTGTAAGTTAAATGGATGAGAACGTGGGTACCATGGTGAAGCTCACAGCAACAAATTACTCCATTTGGAAGCCAAAAATGGAGGACATACTTTTCTACAAAGATCTGTACGATCCTGTAGAAAAGGGAGACAACAAGCCAGATAATGTGAAGGATGACGATTGGAAAAAGTTACACAGGAAGGCTGTCAGTTTAATCAGACAGTGGGTTGGATATCAACATATTCCACTGATGGGTCTCTTCTCAGATCTGGAATGGCCCGATGAGGAAATGTTTGGATCTGGGATGAACCGGTATGAATGAGCTCAGATCTGATTAGATGGCCTTCGAACCGTTGTTGAGCCGCAAGAACACCTGCAAGAACTCAACGCCGGAGGGGTTTCCGGCGTAGAGCCTCCGACGCTCAAGTCAGTATGTGAAAGAAATGAAGATAACTGCTCAGAGAGAGCAGCAACAGTGAGGGAGAATGTGGAATGAATGAGAGTTAGGGTTTTTGGATTACCTCAGTCCTTTATATAGAAGTGCAAAATTTACCTGAAGTCCTCAAAGTGCCCCGGCTGACTTACTGGAAATGTCCAGAATACCCTGGTCGGTTCGTATTCTGCTTACTTCCTAGTGAGCATCTAGATCCTTCCTTAGCTTCCTTCTTATCCTTAACTCTCCCTCAATACGCTGGGGTGTATCAAAGCTATCGAGAACTACGAACTGCAAGACTCCTTCAGTCGACCTGAGATATCGAGTCGAGTCGACTGGATCGCATTCAACCCTTAGTGGATCCTGATACGTCTGACCGTCGTCTTGGCAGAAATCGACTTATGTTAGTCGACAAGTGTACGTCGACTCAGACGAGAGCCGGGATCCTTGACTGTGAGTATCGTGGAGCCTTACTGGCGGAGTCGACTTTGTTAAAGTCGACTTGATAGTTTCGAACCGTGATGATACGGACCGTTATGAGCCAGCGTGGCTATATCATCTAGTCCCCTCCCAAAATTTACTCAAAGCGATTCTGAGCTTAAGAGTAAGTTCTGGACGGTCGAATGTCTTTCTCGAGTCTTTTCTCATATCCTGTCGCCTGTCGTTTCCCTAAATTGTAACTGGTCGTTTCTGCGACTTGCGAAGTGGTGTTCACCCAATTGAATTTCGAACTGATTGGATAAGTCTGGATCGTTTCAAATTTCAAATTTCAAAAGATAAGACACTTTCTCTCTCCACCGCTTCGTATTCTGTGCATCATCTTAGCCGTTGAAAATGACTTTAATCTGAGGGCTGGGGTTTCTCTGCCCTCTCTATAAATAATCCCCGCCTTTTCTCGTCCTCACTTTTCGCACTCACCTCCTTTAAGCTTTCTGTTTTTTCCGGCAAACACAGCTTTCCGGCGCTCTTATTCTCCGGCATCCTTCTCCGATTTCTCAGGACTTTCCGTCAAGCATCATGAGTATGAGTAAGTTTTCTTTGCCTATTCGACTTGTTTTCGTATTTCGAGATAAGAACGCTTTTTATTTTTCTGGGTAAATTGTCTGGAAATAAGAACATCTTTCATTTTCTGGGAATTGCATGTGAATCTTCTGGCGATTTTCCTGTTAGATCTCTGATTGTAAGTTTTTCATCTTTTCAAGTGTTCTCTTTTGCTAGTCGTCTTGTTATGAGATCGACTCTTTTCCTTTCCTGACTTGACCTTCATTTGTCAAGTCGAATCGATATGGGAACTACTTTTCTTATTTCTTCTCCCTTTCTTCCCGTTGTCGAGACGTTTCTCGTGTTATCCTGGTTATTTTGTTGACCCTTCTCTTTGAATCGAATCACGGTTTCTAATAACTTTTCTTGATTGCCGTTTTTCTTCTTAGATTCCAATCTCGATCCTGTTTCTGACCCCGTCTCCGGTTCTCTTGCCCGTGAAATCGATAACTATTCGGGTTCTGACTCTGTTCACCCAAACGATGTCGAGCCATGTTCTCATCGAAACATCGAGCCGGAGGATTTTGTCCATTCACATGCCTCACCTTTCGGTATCGATTGGGCTGTGTACAATCAGGCGTTGCTTTCGGGCACCCTTTGTGAGGATCCCGA